CACGCAAATTTATATGAAAATTTGGGCAATTCCACTATCAGAAAGGAAGAATTTACTAAATAAAAAAGAAAAGAGGTTAAAATGTAGAAAGTGGCGGCTCACAAAACATGAAAACTCGAGAAATCCTAAATAAATAAGAAGCATTTACATACATAACACACAATTCTTAGTAAACAAAAGCCATTCAGCACAATTATGAACAAAAGGATCCAATTAAAGAGATTCGTATGAGTTTGCAAATAGTAAACTAATTTTAAAACTCCAATAGCGATAGTGGTAGTCCTTTCTTTTGAGATTGTTGATTTATAGTTGGAAGATCAGAAGCATTGCTTTAAATGAGAATCTAAATGTGAAGATTCATCAGATTCGAAGCATTGAAAGGAAAAAAAATAGCGCTGCTTGGAGGAGCCGGGTTGCGTTTAGGGTAGACGACACGATGGAGGCCTGGAAACCCGTCGGAGAAGAGAACACAGGGGAGCAGATCTCGGGAAGAGGAGGACCAGGGTTGGCAAAGAGGAGGAGATGGGAAATCTTTGCTCGGGAAGAGGATGATGCTCGGGAAGAGGAAGATGCTTGGGAGTTGAGGAGATTCAGAAAGGGGAAGCTCTGCTCGTTTTTAGGGTTGAGTTGAGGGCACGAGCGCAAAACCAATTTAACACATCTGCCACGAAGTTGGGCCACGGGTTTGTGACCTCGTTTGGCATTTTGTCTGATTCGCGATCTGCCACAGACGAGACGCCGCCCCAAATACAAAATAATCGCGGGGCGGTGCCGCACAATAGCTAGCTGCGCCAAACAGACCTTTAGGCTCAAGTTCAAATATAGAGGCTTATATGACAATGTTTAAGACAAGTGTGAATTCCAACTATCGATGGAATGACATACTTTCTAAGAGGCTTATGATGATATTTTGGAGGGTTTGCTATTTCCAAGTGTTTCTTTTGAATCTTTGAATTTTTTAAAAAATTTTGAAGGTTTTTTTTTTCATTTTCAAGCTCAAAAAAACACTAATTCTAAACCAGCCCTAAGTATGTACTTCACAAAACTAAGTGACCATAATTTAACATAAAAACACAAAAATAGGGAATACCAACATAAATAAAATATATTAACTAAGAATAACTAATGTGAAAAACAAAAAAAAAATAAAATAAAAAAAAGCAACAATTATATTATTTTTATATTTTTAAAATTTTCAAATATAAAGATCAATATGGAATTGTGACAATAACAAAGGAAAATTGGAAAAAGTTTAAAGATAATTTCTAAGTATTTCAACTGAAAATGTCTTAAAATCATAAAATTTGACTCATCTCTATTATAACGACACTAAAAAATTGATAGAAATTATATCACAACAAACAATCAATTACATAAATATACATATTGAACAAGCAATATAAGAATTATTAGTCCGCGTGTCAATCCCACGATGAAATTTATCAACTTTTCTACAGGTAAAGCTCTAATTTAAAAAATTGCTAAGCCAAGTTTGAATGTTTAGTTTGAAGAAATTAAAGTTTCTAAAATCCTAATGTAGAAAAAAGAAAACTACATTAAATTTCATTGGTGTTTTTTTAGAGATGAAGGTTTTATACTCTTCAATCTAGTAATCTTAAGATGTTTTTTCTATAAAATCTCACATTATTGTTCAAAACCACAAACAAGTATTTTGTAGCCTATGTCTAGGTCATAAAAAAATATTTGAATCTATATTATAGTTATGGAGGCTTAACCATATAATATTTTCCAGTAATTATCTAGTCTCATATCTTGATTTAAATTACCCAATGAAAATATGTCTATTCTCCTAGACTATTGTGTGTTAACCTCTTTTTTTTTCTAGGAAACACTTAAAAGTCCCATATCACAAGAATTTTAACATTCTATCGAGTCAGATTAGAAGTAAATGAAGTTGAAAAGTTAACACATCAACATATAAAATTCAAGTGCAGAGAATGCATCTAGGGCACAAAATCTAAAATAATAAAAAAATCAGGTCTTACATCACAAGGGTACAAAATGAAACAAACTTTGATGCATGAGAAAATAAAGCCCGATAACTCTTCTTATAGCATAACAAAAAAAAATATAAGAGGTACAGAAATTCAAATGAGAGGAAATTCATCCTTGCAATCCACTGTGTTCCTCTTCGTTCAATATAAGTTTTCCATAGATCTTCCTCATATAAGCACTCTCAATCTCTCTCTATCTCTCTCTCTCTCTCTCTCTCAATTATCCAAAGTCACAAAGAAAATGACCCTATGAATCTTTTCCAAGAAGAATTTAATGAATAAGACCCTAATATTTACAAAGACTCCTAATATTGGAAAAGAACTAGCTTCAGTAGCCCAATTTTGCCCTAAAATATTTCTCAATGCTGCTTAAATAGGTTGAAATTCAAATTACCTCAGTTTATTGTCAAGATAGTCATTATGTGGAACCCAACATCGGTACGCCTCTGTCTGGCATAAGTACACTGTTCTTTCTGTCATACGAGAGTGCTAGTGCCAGAGAACCTATCATAAGTGTAGTCACATTGGACTCCCATTTTGTCTAATCTTCATATTCAAGTTCTCTAGAGCACACTCAACATCTACAACCTACAAAAAATGGTAAGAAAACCTTTCACAAATATAGAATCATCATAATAAAAACCTAATTCATGACATTTAAGCAACAAAATATCACAAATTTGACTCACATCAACATATCCTATCTTTTTTTTATTACAAGACTTTTAGTAACATTTAATTTTTTGACCTTCCATTATTCATAAAAGCTTCATGCAAACATGCCTAAAATACTTTAGTGTAAATTTTCGAGACATTTTGCTTTACCTACTTCAAATTTCCTTCGATCTCTCAACTTATGTTTCTCTTCTACTCTTAGCTACTCTAATTCACCATGTTTATCTTTTGTTTTTGTATCCCAAAAGTTATATATTCACTTTTATATAATCTTTGAATTCTTTGTGAGTATCATGCTAACACTTATATTTTTGATATGGCAGATATTTTCATTTGGCTTTTGTTGTAGTGGATGTAGCTCAAATGTCTGAACCACTATTTATCTTTGGTGTACTTGTAACTATATTGCTCTTGTCTAATGTTTGAGTAACTTAAAATTAGCCTATTCCTATTTGATCTTCTTTTTTAGACAAATAATCTTTCCTTCTTCTTCGTTGTTGACAAGTAAGAAGATTCGTCAATCATAAAATATTTTCTAAAATAATTGGGAATTCATAACATCCATTATACAAATGTGTTTACTTTTTTCATATAATAATACTAGAAGTATGTTTATAAACATTTAAATACAAACTTATCATATAATATATATGGATTGGTTAATTCAATCCACTATAAATAAGTGGAGTAATCTTATTTTTTTTCAGTTATTTAAGGAATTTATACTATTTTTCATAAGTTTCACATATAAAATTTATATATTTTTATTCCCATAGCGCACAAAATATATATTTTGTGAAAAAATTGAATTGTAAATTTTTTAGCTTTTGGAGAAACTAGATTTAAAAAATAATGATGAAAGAAGATAAAGGAATTTATATACATATCACTTAAAACTCTTTTAAGTTATGTATTGAAAGCCTAAACTTAATTATTTTCATACCCCCTAGTTAATGGAGATAACCAAAATTGTTCAAATCCTACCAGGCACAAGGAAATCACAACAAGATATCACCATTGGAGCTCCTTGTCGAAGGTATTAGTGAGACCCATTAGTGTTTGGAAGGACAATTCATAATAAAAAAACGCTTACAAGAGCATTGATGAGATCATGACACACAAAAGATAATAAGTGTCTGTGAGAATTACTAGTGGATTAGTAAAGTAATCTAACTAAGTTCATGTTGCAAGAGCTTGCTATCGAGAGTATCATCAAGCTAAATAACACCTAAAAGAAAAGCTATAGTAGGAGCTCATTGACAAAGGCGTGGACAAGATCATAATGGGTAGGATGGACATCACTTGAAGGATAATGAGTAAATAAAAAAGTGTGAAAGACAATAAGATATTGTGAGGATGAGTTTAGGCATTATTTTTTATTTTTTATACTTGCAGGGGCTGTTTGGTCGACAACTTTATGGGTGCATTGATGCAAAGATTTTAAAAATTCAATCGTTTGTTTAGAAGAAATTCAACTTCAATGTAAGATAATATTGTATTTGAAATGCACACATAAATTCATATATATTTTAGGATTCGATTTTTTTGGCTGAATTCTAAAAACACACACAATCTAATATAAAATGCCATCGGTTGCCCTACTGCTTGACGGTCATTGTCACTGCTGGCCACCTTAGCTAGCTCTTGGCCCTGTTGTCGACACCGTCGGCTATTGCTGACAACCACCACCGGCTAGCTCAACTCGTGGTTGCCTCTAGTCATTGCCGACCACTGTCGCCGACCATTAATGCCCACCTCATCGACCACCATTACTTATTGGCAATCACCACCATCCACTGTTGCCCGCTGGCTGTTGCAAACATCCACCACCACCCATTGATTGTTGCCAAAATCCACTGCCGTTCTTCATTACCCCCCTCCATTGTCCATTACTACTAGTCTCGCCTCCCATCATCTCCACCCTGGCAGCCCACCAGTTTGGCCACCAACCACTACTAACTATTCCAAACTGTTGGCCTCCATTGCTGTCACTTTTGTCTGCTCTTGCTGGTTAACACATTAATTTTTAAATATGTTGAAATACATTATTTTCATCGTATATCAAATAAAAAAAATTAGGTCACCCGTCTATTTTATAATGAATCAATTTATCATACTACTTCCAAGTTACATTCGTTTTAGATTTCATTACTTTTTTTTAACCTTTTCAACAAACTAAATAGACAATAAATATTAAAATTTTATATGTTAAATATGTTAATCTCTAAAGTTTTGGGTGAACTTTATGCAAAACAAAAAAAAAAAAATCGTAGGATAATTTACACGTCCTTCTCTAGTTTTGAGAGAAACATAGGATTTTAGGAAAACTTATTATTAGGGATCGTCATTCCCGCAGGGAACACTATCTTCGTCCCTGCACCAGTCGCCGATGTGAAAGCGCACGGTTCGGAGAGAGAGAGGGAGAGGGAGAGGGGGAGGGGGAGCGTCGAATCACACCCAGCCATTTCCTCTCTGCCGAGTTTTCCCTGCTGTAAGAAGCGGCAAAGAGTCGTAGCTGTGGCACAGTGGACGTCTTATAAGTTAGCATCTTCGCTTCACCCCCTTCAATCTCTCCCTTGTTTTTCCTCCTGTTTATGCGATGTTATGTGCGTGAAATGGCGCTTCTTTCATCAAATAAGATTTTTTCTTGAATGACTTATGTTTCTGGCTGGTCTGATTTTGTGTGCTGACCCACAGCTCATGATTGCATGCTGTCAGAAATTCGGATATTAACAATCATCAAATTTAAAGTTTAAATTGAAGTTCATCTGTACATTTATTGAGAGAAACTAACCGGTTACTTTAGCCGCTAGCATTTTTAATTCATGTGTTCAAAGGTTTCTACCCCTTTCAACTAAAAACGACAAGGGATGACTATCATGTAAATTTTTAATAACAAAACTATCCTGTTAAACAAACTGTGCAAAAAAATAAACTGGCTCATTGTTGGATCTGGGAATAAAGGAAAACAACACATGCGAAAGTTGGTTAAGAAAGTCAAATCAGGGTTACATGCCTCTTGCTTCGTCCAAGCATCTATTTCCATGGAATGTCAAAGAGAAACCACCACATTTTTGTTATAGCCTTTAAACATAAGACCATGAGTTTCAAACATCCATGGCTCAACCAGCTTGCTAAGATGTAAAAAATAACTTCCATTTGAACAAGGGAACTATCCCAATGCACCATCTTATAACCAGCCGCAAGAACACAATTGCCTAATTGTCTCAAATAATGATACCCACACTAGCAAGACCCGAGGTAAGGAAGGCCCCAATCCGCCTAGGAGGGGGAACCCCAATAGGGAAGAGAAGTCGGCCCATCTGACCGAGTGGTGACCCATATTGATAGCTGTTATGCTAGGAGATGTCTCGCCTTTATCAATAGTTAATGTAGCCTTCGGGCTGGGTGACAACCTAATTATATGCATGACATGAAAATAATTGAGACCTATATAATTACAAGCGATATTTCTATGATTAGATTGAGGACTCTTATGAATATGTTTATGATTACTCATAAGTGGATGAAATACATGTTTTATATAACAATCATTATTTCTTACATTACTTGCCTTTTTTTATAGTATTTATATGATTATAATATGTTGTGACAGATGTTGTAGACATGAACATGAGTTACATAAAAACATGCATGTTATTTCTTTTCCTTTTATAAATTTTATTTTTGTCTTGATTATTTTGCTGAACTTATTGTAGCTTACTTTATATTGTTAACTTCCAAGAAGGGGTAAGGAGCACTGGGGCTAGTAGCTAGGTGTAACCTATTTTTGTCTTGATTATTTTGCTGAACTTATTGTAACTTACTTTATGTTGTTAACTTCCAAGAAGGGGTAAGGAGCACTGAGGCTAGTAGCTAGGTGTAACTTGTACAACTTTTGTATTTCATAGTTGGGAGAACTTGTATAGACTTTTGGGTACATACTTATATTATTTAAGATTTAGCAGCTTTGTATAGATTTATATGTTTTGATGATATGATTTACCACACTTCCGATTATATGTGAATGCGAATGAATTATGAAATGAAATGTATCATGTACGTTTACGGTAATTTAACTGGACTAGTTCATCACCCACTGAGTCTTGATTCTACAAATTAAGACGAGTGTTGGTGAAAATTTAGTCTGACTGAATTGTCTGTCTCTGCCGCAATGCAGTTGACTTTTAAGGGGTGCCAGTTGGGGTGAGACATGATATATCATTTTATAAAAGAGAAAAAATTTGAAGCTTTATAAGGTTTAGATTTCAAGATAATTTGTTGTCTTACAAGTTTAAGATATCACATTGGAAGACATCTTTATTCTCAAATAAAGGGATGATCTCTTAATGATTAAAAAGAACCCAGGATGTCTCTACCTACAATGTTACAACATTACTTGATCTTTCCTGGACTGAGAAGAGGTTTCCTAATTTATGGCACGGTCTTGTACACTCTCTTTGGAATTTTCATCAAAGTAGTATTGTTTTCCAACTTTATTAGCGCGATCAATCCTTTTTATGAGCTTTTCTCTATATATTCTCAATATTTTTTGAGTGAATACTTCTACAATTACAATCTTTATTGATAAATAATTTATATATTTACTAAGAGTTCAGGAAAAACTTGAATTATAGTAGTCTATATTGGAGTCTAAAGTCTTTCATTTGAGTAGATCTAAAAATGAATACATGGAATTTAATTTTAGTTGTAGTAGTTCTAGTGGCTGAGTTGTAACTATGATGATCAAATCATCAAAATATGTGAGCATTCTAGATGTCTCGGGTCTCTTGTTCAAAGTGATGGTGATATCGATGAGGATATTATTAGTAGAATTGAAGTTGGTTGGTTGAAATGGAGAAATACATCAAGCCTATTGTGTGATGGAAAAATACTGCATAAACTGAAAGGAAAATTTTATAAGATAGTGGTGAGACCTGTAATGCTCTATGGTATAGAAATTTGGCCTTTAAAGGAGAAGCTTAGAACAAAGTTAAGTGTTGTTGAGATGAGAATGCTTAGGTGGATGAATGGCTTGACACTCAAAGACAAAATGCAAGATGAATATATTCGTGATTGGGTTGGTGTAGCTCTAGTGACGAACAAGATTAGAGAGGGTCATCTTATATAGTTTGACCACTTTAAATTAGTGACGAACAAGATTAGAGAGGGTCATCTTATATGGTTTGACCACTTTAAACGTCGACCATCTGATGATCCTATCAGGAGAGTAGATGTCTTAGATTCAACTTATGTTAAGAAATGCAAAGGTAAACCTAGAAGGACTTGAGCTTATTGTATAAAAAATAATCTTCATTTATTAGAATTAAATGAAAATATGTCACTCAATTGGTCGCAATGGAGAAAAAGGATTCATGTAGCCCACCTCACTTAGTGGGATAAAGGCTCATTGTTGTCGTTGTTGTACAAAAATTTTACTATAAAGTTTTATGTTAATTTTTTAAATAGTCAAACAATTATTTTAGAGTGGTCCAATTGACCTAGCTATTGAACTGTTATCATGTAAGTCAACGCCTTGACCAATTGATGTCTGATTCACTTTCATTAGCTGTACTTTTGATAAATTACGTTCATTCCTTGATATTATCACAACATTTAAGAAATATAATTGAGCAAAACAAAAGATGTATGGAAATCAAGTTTATAATATATAAAGTATTAGAAGTTATTTTATTAGAAGCTATTTTTATATTCTTTCTTGCCTTTCTGTTATTTATTTATATATATATTTTCTAGTTTATGCCTTTCCTTTTTTTTGGGTTTTATTAGGAAATATTTGAGTATTATATCTTTTCTTTTCTATATTTCTTGTATCATGTATTTATACTGCTGAATAATATTATCCTGCCATATTCTCAAAAGTTAGCATGGTGTCAGAACCATGGTTCTAACCTTTGTCGCCGCTAGGACTCATCCCTAGCCGCCGACCACCTGTAGGCCTTCTCCTGCAAGATTGTTGCCGCTGGCCACTTGTGGGTTGTCTTGCTGTATTTTTCCCAACTGCCATATCTCCCACTAGCTGGCCAGATATATCTCTAGCCAGCCTGATCTTCCTCGGAAAGAACCTTCCATCCGCCGGACCTTCTTCCAGCCGATCCGGTATCCCTTCAGGATTGTTGGAACTGTTCCCTGAGGCCATATTTATCCCCTGTAGGACCGTAGCTGGTTATTCCTTATACAACAAGAATCTTCCCATGTCTCGTTAACCCAACATCACTTTTGGCTCAGTCGGAATCAGGACGGACTCGTCAACCACTGAGCCTCCTCCCAACGACGTACTTGAGTCCACCGGAGGATCGACACCAACCTCAATACCGACGCAAACCATAGGCCCGGAAAACCACATGAATTTCTTGATCACCGCTCATAAACTTAATGGCTCTAAATTTCATCAATGGTCCCAAGCCATGTTATTGTTCGTCAAAGAATACGGGAAGTTCGGCTATCTCACAGGAATGATTCATGAACATTCGAAAACTGACCAGGTGTATGGAGTACGAAAAGTGGAGAATTCTATGGTCATGTTCTAACTGATCAATTCCATGGAGACTACAATTGGCCATTCGTTTCTTTTTCTTACGCTGCAAGCACACTATATACGATAGTATAGAATACTTACTCAGACGTAGAAAACACAGGCCAACTTTAGAGGTTTCTAAGAATACCCACAAGGCAAAATAGGAATCAAGGACCGTGACCCAGTTCTACAATGACTTAATGTTCTTATGGATTGAATGCGATCTCTATTACGACTACACATGGGACTCTTCGGCTAATCTTTCCCACTTTCTGAAAATTGTGGAAAAGGATCTTGTGTTTCATTTCCTAGAGGGTATAAACAAGGATCTCGAAGATGTCTTGGGTCATATTCTTGGCTGAGATCCACTTCAACTTATGTTGCATTCACTATGGTACGTTGCGAATAAAGATAGAGACTTATCATGCTCGACACTTCTATTCTTTCAACTGAATCGTTAGCTTTGGTTTCTAACAGTGCTCAACCCTTCTCCACGTTATCACGGGCCAATCACTCCACTTATGATTACTGTCACAAACCTAATCATACCCGTTACAAGTGTTGGAAGCTCCACGGGAAACTTGCAAATAAACCTTCAACCAAATCCTTTACTGTTAAGAGTCTCGTTACGACCTCAGAAGCCACAATATTACAGTCGATTCCCACTCTGAACCTCCTGGGATCACCATACTCTATTAAGAGTCAGATGGAACTTGATCAAACTATTTGGATCTAGTCAGTTCTCTTTTGGCCCGTTAACCTCTCATGTTTGTCAAGTTAACATTCTGATGATACCGACTGTTTTTGCTTCTAGTTCGTGGATTATTTATTCAGGTGCCATGACCATATAATTAGATGTTCTCAAGCCTTCTCGACATATTCTCTGTGCTCTATGAGAGATATAGTTAAAATTACTGACAGTCCCGTAGTTTCATTGTGGGTAAAGAGTCTATTGTTCTAACAACATAACTGATTTTAGAATCTGTGTTACATGTACCTTTG